AAACGAATGAGAATACTCAATACTCCAAGTATTGGCACATTTATACAACATATAATATCATTTTCTACCTATAATATTTAATAAAAGTATCGATATTTATATTTTACCTAGAGTATCACTTTCTACCTGTAATCGGTCCTAAATGCTTCTTTACTTAGAAAACCCTAAATAACACATAAAAACCCTATTTCTGATTACTGTAATAATAAAAAACTAGGGTTTCGACAACGTACTTTTCGATTCGACTGCAGCAACAAACAAACAAACTTCGCTTTAGAAACGCCTTCTGAAATGCAGCAACAATTACGCTTCGATTTCAAAAACTCATCCGTGTTTTATCTATTTTTTCAGAGGATATTTAGCTATGCCCTTTATATTTTCACCTGATATGTTATTTATATTTAATCGATACAACTACCAAAGTATCGATACTTTTATGTCAGGTTTCAATACTTTCGATAGGATAATTACCTATTTCTTTGAAAGTATCGATAATTTATTACGCGTACTTATTAAAGTATCGACACTTTCAATATATCCAGTAGCGCTTTACTGGTTTTGTCATTTCGAGACCGGTTTTGTCATATTTTTACCTGTTATATCGTTATGGATCGATACATTTTTTATAAATTATCTACACTTTATAGGCGCTAAAACTGTTTCTCTTTTAAATTCCTAAAGTGTCGATACTTATATTAAAGTATCGAAACTTTCAATATATCCGGTATCGCTTTACCGGTTTTGTCATTTCGAGACTGGTTTTGTCATATTTAAATTCCTAAAGTGTCGATACTTATATTAAATTATCGACACTTTCAACAGATCCGGTAGCGTTTTACCGGTTTTGTCATATTTTTACCAGTTATATTGTTATGGATCGATACATTTTTTATTTGAATCGATACAAACCGACAAGCTAAGTTTGTCGGTTGTCAAATTTTTTAATATTTCTTCATGATTTACACCTACTACATTATTATTACTCAATATTTCCGGTAGTGCTAAATCGAATTTGTTAAATATCTTTTAATGTATCTGATAACGCCGTATATTAGCCCGCCTTTCATGAGACAACTCCAAGAATCTAATAAGTGACTATGTTCAATTATTGTTAGTTACTATGATGATAATATTCTATTTGGTCGGTGGATGTTGTATTTACTTTTTAATGATTTTTTATTTCAAATTATTTTATGTTATATAAAAATTATAAATTTTCAGTTGGTTAAGTGAGATGAGCCACAATATCCCTTAAGTAATATTAAAGGTTCAAATCATGATGTTTACAAATGGAGTAAACTGAGTTGGGAGAGTCATCATCGCCTCTGCAATACCCGATCCAGATTAATTGATCAATAGATCGAAGATCACTGGTTATACAAAAAATATATAGGGTTGTTGTCTAGTGAGATCAGACACTAGATTCCGTAAGCAAGTTCAAGAGTTCAAACCTTGGCATTTGCGAATTGAGCAAATTGATTGAGAGGGTCGCTCTTGCCTCTGCAATACCTGATCTGAGTTAGTTGATCAATAGATCGAATATCAGTGATTAATCCAAAAATTTATAAATTTAATTTTTATATTTAATTATAAAAAATTAAATATTTATAATAATTAAACAATAATTGTTAAAGAAAAAGATAAATTTTATTATTAATTATTAATTATCGGTTGGTGTTGCAAGATTTGACGTTATTCCTCAGGCAACATCATAATTTAAAAGAAATAAATTATATTAAAAAAATATTGTAATAGGCTTGTATAATCTCTCTCTCTCTCTCAATTAACAAACTAATATAAATATTGTTCTTTTCAAATAAAACTAGGCTTCCATAAGTAAAAAAAAGTAAGTACAACAAGGACACCACAATCCTAACATTGAAACTCAAAGGATGTGAAGAAAAATAAAATAACTTTTTCTTTAAATTAATCTCATATTCTAAAAGAAAAAATAACAACTATCAATAATCTTCATGTCTGTAGTTAAACCTAAACACAATATTGATATAGGTTTGTAGATTGAGAGAATCAATATAACAGATTGAGAGAATAGTTTTGAAAGCATTGATAAACCATCACAAAAGGAAATTTAACTATAAAAGATAGCCAACCTTTCCTGATCAATATATTTACTATGATGAATGCAAAGTGAAACGATAAACTGTCATAACGATAAAAAAATCGTGTCATAAAAGCATGCAAAAACTAACATTTCAAGAATATGCAAAAAGAATAAAATCAAAATGAGATGTTTATTTAGATAAGGCAACACATATATTATCTACAATTTATATACTATTTTTGTAACCACCCGAAAATTTGAAAATATTATTTAAATGAAATTTGAGGTTTTAATTTTATAAATTAGTAAATTTTGGGGACTAAGTTGAAAGTTTTTAAAACTTGTAGTCTATTTTAGAGTTAAAGAAAATTCAGGAACCAAGCCCTAAATTTACCCCTGAAATGTCGGCAGGCTCTGGTTATTTAGACGTGCAATTGGCAAATTTTTTTTTCACACAACTTCCAAACCCGATTTCGACGCCATTCGACCTCTGATCGTCGTTTTGAAACCACCATCGTTTTCATCATCGAGCGAGGAACAAACCCCTTAAATTAATTGAAGCAGAACGCTGCCAAACGCCGAGAATTTCCAGTCAAAGTCTCGATGTTTTTAGCACAATCGCCGAGAAAATCTTAAATTCATCGCCGATCATTGCTCCGTTTACGACGCCTCCCGCACCATCGTGTTCCTTGTGCCGTTCCGAGTCTGCCAGTGTCATCCTTGGTCTCCGTAGACGGCGGCGCGTGGGGAGGTGAAGCGGTCAAAGTTTCCGATTTGTTGAAATCAAGCTCTCCGCCGTTCCAAAATTTGAACCGAGCTTTGTAAGTATCTCGAAATCGCTCAAAATAATTTTTAGAAATTTTTCTGTGAATTATAGGATACCGTAGGACGTCACACGCGCCCCACGCGCCGCCAATGCGCGTGGGGAAGCTTCGGCAGCAGCTTGAAACCGGTTTGACCGATCCGATCCGAACCGGTCCGACCCGACCCGTTGACTGTTGACCTCTTTTGACCAGAATTTTGACCGGCTTTGACCGGGCATTAAACGACCTTTGATTTTGACCGAGTATACCTATCCTGACATTTTTCGACGTTCCAAATCCGAATCCGAAGTCCGTTTCACCAAATTTGAACCCGAAAGTCTCCAAATTGCCAGTCAAACCCTTTGACTTTGATTTTGACCAAGAATTTAAATATCCGGAAGGTCATACTTTATGTTTTTCGACATCCTGAATCTGATTCCGAAGTCCGTTTTGCCAAATTCTGACCCGAAATTCCTGAATCGAGCATGTGAACCCAAAAAGGCTTAGTATTTTAATATTTTGATTATTTAATTGAGTTTTGGTTAAAGAATTGATTCAATAAAATATTTTATGAATGTACTAGTGTTTCAACTGAGAGAGGATCAGTTAGGTCCGAAATTGTTCGTTCGTCAGATCAGCCCGAACCGCGTACTACGAGAATTACCCGTATGTTTCCGTATATTATTTAAATAAATATTAAGATTATTTATATTAGGATTCCAATATGGATTTTTTCAATTCGTAGGTTCTAGCGCTACAGCAGAGCTTAATCGACAAACCCAATAGTATGCTTCCCTATCTGATTTCTCAGACTGTTACAGGTGTGTTTCCTGATAGTGCTATATTATTGTTTTAAAGTATATAAATATATGAATACTGTGTATCTGATTTCTGATTTACTGCATATTTCTGATATGATTTCTGGTTACGGTATTTTATACCGTTTTTTGAATACTGATTACCCAACATCTAAATTACCATACATTACTGATTTGATTTTTGATTTCTGTATTTCTGTTTATGGTTTTCAAGCTTGAAACATTTTTATGTTTTTAAAGAATTATTCATTGTTTTACGCGAATACATTCATGTTAATTACTATCATTGGGGGGAATATTATTGGAGGAAGATTATCAGCAGGCTACTCGGCTGTGTGCTCAGGGCCTTACTGGTTGTGCGGGGTGTATGGTTCTGGGGAACCTACACAAACAAATTGTGAAAGGATGGGGGTAGTGTTCATGTTTTCAAAACATGTTGCATAAACAAATTTTATTATAATATTTTGTTAATATGTTTTTATACACTGTATGGAGCACACTGGACTTTTTAGCTCATTCTGTAGTTTTTACCTTTTTCAGATAACAACAGACCGTAAGCTAACAGATTTGGCATCAGGAGAGATCAACTACTTATTTTGTACGAACATATATCTCTATATGTTTTTCGGTTATATTTGGTGACATGTATTTGCTATCGTTTTGGATATATCTGTATTATTAATATTTTGTTCTATATTATATTTAATGTTCTATAAGTTGTTAAAAAAAAATCTCTGAATGGGACATATGACCACTTAAGTTTGGGTTTAACTTATAGATCGAGTTACAATTTTTTTTATTAATTTGTGATGAATACATTGTAGTATCAATTCAGAAATACTAAATCATTTGACATTGAACACTTATTAAAAACCTAGAACCCCAAGGACTAACAACAATTTCTTAATCACTGAGGTTATCTTGTTTGTGCTTAATATATATATTTATCTTTTAGATTTTTTTTAATAGACCAATCAATAATTGACACATGACATAATATTAATAAATCATTTTACATAAATTTTGCCATGTTAATATATATATATATATATATATATATATTTGTGAAATGAAAGTTTTAATATTATTTAAAATTGTCATATATTAATAAAATTATTGGTTACAATTTTCAATTTCGAACACAACACAATTACATGATACAACTGTAATAAGAGGCATATCAATCTATACAATATAAATTATTAACATCTCACAACCTACATAACACCTTAAACACAACATGACAATATCACTAATTATTATTGCCATCATTGAAAAGTCAGCCAATTTATACATAAAAATAAATAAATTTCTCTGATATATTTAAATAATATTTTTTTTGATAAAAATATATTTAAATAATATAAAACAATAACATACGAGTTCAAGCAAAAGGGATGTGGCATCAATAGGATACTGGAAACATGGAAGTATTCGGTATCTTGTCCTTTCTTTTTGCTTAATCTCTTTTCTTTATTTCTTCATCTTTCTGCAAATATCCAAAACATCAGATAGAAGGATCTCGCTTCGCATACTATTAGAAAGCCGCCCATCCAGACGCCGTGGTCTTCCTCGATCCAGATCCACTAGCAGGAAGATCCCTCTGTAAATGTTACCAATGTAGTTAAATTTGAATACAGAAATGAATTCCTGTCACAAAGAAATATGACAACCTCCAAACATATAAAACACTATCATCCAGGACGAGTTCCATTCCATACATGGTTTCACCGTGTACATTTAAAAGGTCATAATATATTCTGTTTTTAATATTTGAGCTTCGATTCGAAACCTATACCCACATTATTTCTACCACTAGGGAACATTGATAAGTCATGGGGGAAAATACATACAACACCTAAAAACAATGACCACAAGGAATCATCTGGAAAACGAGAAGCTACGAGTATAATTTCTATCAAACAAAGAAAAGGCATGTGGAGAATATACTATGCATAAAGGGAAAAAGGGTGCTCCTGAATACACTATGATAACCGATTCCCAGCAATGCTACATTTAAGAAAAACACGATGAAGGATGCATCAGAAGGATTAAAATATAGCCGTACCTCTAGTTGAGAAAAATTGGTTAAAGGGTCAGTTTGTCTTGTGTTTTCCTCGGGTGCTCTTAGACCTACACCTTGACTATTAGATGTCATAAAAGCAGCAGCAGGGTCGTTGGGAGAGGGTGGGATAGGAGACCGAATTTTTCCAGAACCACTGGGTGGTGGGGCAAGGCCCAAAGTCTTAGGCTTACCACTACCAGAGAACCCCCCTGACAATCCAGTAGCTGAAAGCATGCCAGTTCCACTAGATGGCTTGGGCTTCACATTAATTCGCATGGTCTCCCCTTCCTATAACCCAAAACACCACAAGATCAAAATCCACCTAAAACGAATTCAAACACAGCACTTAAAAACCTTATTGCTTAACAGCAAAACAGATTGACTTGTTCTCTTTAGAGCAGAAACCAAAAGTCACCAAACGAGAAAGATAAATGATCAAACCAATAGAGAAGCTTATTTATTATTAATCGGTATGATAAGATATCGAAACAACAGAACCTACAAAATCAAATATAAGAAATTACTTATTTAACATGGCATATTGGCAAAAATTGAAATTGTACCACCTCTTCACAATATTTTAGACTCCTCAAAACAGTAACATCAAAATCCAAATTCAGCAAAATGATATCAAAACCAGAAGGGGAAAAACCCTCAAAATCAAATTCACATAGCACATTGGCAAAAAAGAAATTGCACATCCTTAATAATAATAGAAGAAATGAACATAACAAACTCTCCTTAATAAGATTCTTCAAGACAGTAACACCAAAATAAAAATAAGAACTTGGCACTTATCCAAATATTCAAACTAACTTTATAAATAGAATAAATCAATTGACTTATTTGTTTGCTCCAGCCCATAAAACTACATTCTTCCAAATATGACGCCAAAAATTCATTAATAACAGGATAAAAAAAATACCTCCTCGCTTCCAGTCTTACATTCTCAACTCAACAAAAATTTAAACTTTTAGAATACTAACAAAAGTAAAAAATTCAACCCTATTATTTTATGCAATAACTCACATATATGATAAACCAAAATAAAGAATAAGCAAACCCACATTCTAAGATCAAACAAAATTAAACGTTTAAAGCTACTAAAAGCAAATAAATACCCGATATTTTCTACCTTCAATCTATGATTGACTGCGGGATGAATATCAATAATAGAATCATTAGCATCTGTCTCACTGGCCTCTTTCTCGTTCTGTCTACTAACATACTTCTCATGATCAGACAATGCAACGTTGAAATCAAAGGCCTCGTTTCGCTCGTTAAACCCGAGCCCAATAAAGGCGTGTTTCCCATTGCCGTCCTCGATCTTGAGCACGAAGTACCGGGAAGAATCGAGCGCGGGCTCAACGGAACTCTCGCGCTGGCCAGGGTATATAAAACAAGCGGCGAAGAGCTCAGCCGAGTTGGGATCCTCCAATCGGATCTTGCATCGGTCCTTGCAGGAGACGACTCGAAGCCGACCCGACCAGATCTTGTCGGATTGGAGCCACTCGCCGCATTTGTAACCACCGGAGGTGGAACGAGGCAGGATTTTGTAGACAGTTACTTCACGGACCACGAGGAGGGTGTGTTCGAATGACTCTTCGTCGTCGAACGACATGTCGTGATATGGGGGTTAGGGTTTATCTTCCTGGGGGATATTTGAAAACTTTTTGAGGGGATATTTGGGGGAAGAAGGAAGAGAGGTGAGAGGTAGAGAGGGAATGATCAGATGTTGAGAGATTTGGGTAAGCAAAGAGACGTGGCTTCAATGATAGTGATTGAATTGTCAACTGCTCTTCGCCAATTACAGTTTCATCCTTTTCTATTTTCCTAAATTAATCAGAAAATATTTTGCGGAAATATGAAGATTTGTCCAATAAGATATTCTTTTGAATGTTTGGATTATTAGGTTAATTTAAAAATTTGTAATTTGCAATTATAATTTGAAATCTACAAAAGCGTGGATGATGGTCGGTAAGTGAGAGGGTAATGGTAGCAAATAAGTGGGTGGGTCGATGGTGATGATAATTAATGGCAAAATGAGCTTTAGGGATTTTATGAATTTTAGATATTTATAAAAGTAAAAAAAGTTAATTTTTTTGAAAATATATTAATTTAAAAAAAAAAATTAAAGTAAATTAAAAATTAGGCAATATGTCAAAATGTAATTTGTTAATTGATTTTTAAAGTTTTTAATATTATTTCGAACTAAACACTTAAAATGATAATAAATATAATATTAGACATTTACTTTAAGCAAAAGATACTATATACATTTCAAATTTCAAATGAGCAAAGGATATAATTTGTATTTTTTTTTCATTAGACCATATAAAATCAATAGAACAGTCTCCATAAGGCAAATGGCTGGTGGGTTGAAGTTCAAGCCCAAATTAAGTTATGGCCTTAACCTTTTAGGCCTAGCCTGAAAAATTGGTGGGACAAACTGGTAATTTTACTTTTATCCCTACTTCTACTACTACCTTTCTTAGCTCGGCCACACTCCATAATCACGCACAGCAAGGACTGCGAAGACTTCACCAAAAAGAAAAGGGACGAATTTCTTTTACATTTATAGTACGTTAGCGATCTAATAAACCCTAGTATTTTCAGAGTTTATTTCCGATCTATTCTGAATTATTTTTTAAATCCTATAAGTTTTTTTGGTATTTGTGAAAAATCCATTTCAGTTTTGAGGAGTTTGGCTGACTATTGTTGGATTTTAATTGCAGGAAATGGCCAGAAGTCTAGCTGGATTTCTGGTTCTGCTGCTTGTTGTATCGATCTGCGAAGCGGCTTCGCTCTTTCAACCAGTCTCCGATTCTCATCGATCTGCCGCTCTTGAGCTCTTCACTCCCGATCATGGATCATTCAAAAGGTTTTCTTTAACCTATATATCTCCGTTGGTTGTTAAGGAAATATATTCGAAGGAAATGTTCAACTTAGGATGCTTTTGATAACTCGTTGAAAAGAGTAAAAAAATTCAGTGGTTAAAATTTTTCATTTGATAACTCAATTCATATCGTGATAAGTAAGTTATGCATGACTACATCTGTTTATAATATGATACTCTCCATTTTTGGCAAGTTTATGTTTAAAACTTAATGGCCTCTTTATTTAATTAGAACGAGTGAAATATTTAATTTACTTTTTATTATTTGTTTCGATCTGTCCCTTATAATGGAAAATGTAATGAAGCTAAACATGTGGAATTAATAATTATCAAAATTCAACGTTTACATTCGTTTTTCTATGATACAAATTCAGTGCTTATAAATTCAATACTAAAAATCTAGTACTTAATTTTTCAGTTTATGGATAACAACTTAGTTAAACATAAACATTTTTTTCCAAGAAAAGTAAAATTGATGAGAACTTGGTTTTTCTTTTATTTGAATTGGAAGTTGAAAAGAGACCTACGAGAATGAGGTTTTAGGAAGTATCTTATTTGATGTAATTGGTCTAAACAGCTTGGAAGAAACATACGAGGCACTAAGAACATTTCAGATTTTTGGAATTGAAAAGAAGCCTGATGTAACCGCTTCAGCTTGCCGTTCAATTTCTGAAACTGTTGGGTCATCAACATCAACCTCAAAGGATCTTTTCTATGCTTTAAAAGCAAATAGCATAGCAGAATGCAAGATACACGAGACAGCTTCTAAGGTATTATTTGAATTTGGTATGCTGACATGTGGTTTAAGAGCTTTTCACTTTGTTTAACCCAGGTGCTTAATTTTTATTGTTGCCGCCTTTTTCCTCATTTGCAAAAGGGCATTATTTCAAGTCTTAATGCTGCTGTCAGTGCTGCAAGTTCGTTGCTTGACTTCTACTATTCAGTAGGAGGTTTGGTACTTATCAAGGTAATGATTGCATTCAAAATACTGGTTATTATGATGTACTTCTTTCTATGCATCTATTTAATCAATTTTATGAGTACCTCCAACAAATTTTATGATTTTTATCCAGTCCAGCTTATTTTCTATAAATGCTATAGCTTTTAAGTTGTTTCTCATTTTGCCCCTACCTTCTAATGCCTGGTTTGCCAATTCAGGATCAGAGTTCCAAAGATGATATTCATCTTGCTGATGCTGAAGGAGTGTTCCGCTCAGTCAAGGTTTGTTGTTATAACTAGATTTAGTTTTATGGGGAGGTTAAAGTGCTCGACCTCGCCAGATCTATTCAGGCAGACTGATGCCTACCATTTCAGTGGAACTAGTTGTTGTGGTGAGGTTCAGGTTTGGGGAGGAGGCTCACTGCTTGAGCCAACTCCAATTTGCATTGTTATTAATATATGTTTGCCATGGATGGTTTTATGTTCCAGGCTTTCAGCCAGAGTGATGGCAGGTGGCGTTATAGTTCAAGTAATCCTGAGTCTAGTGCTTTTGCTGCTGGTAACTATTTTTCTGGGTTCTAAAACCTTTTTCCCTCAAGTGCAATGTCTGGTACAAGTACCATATTGCTTTCTGTTCTGTCTTTGGTCTTAGCTCATTGGTAACCGTTGTTTGCTTTCTTCACATTTATTAATTGTTTTGTTTGATTGTGCACCAGTTGCTTATTTGGGTTTGTCATATTCTTGCAGGAATAGCACTTGAAACTCTCGCTGGAATTGTTTCTTTAGCATCTTCAGAACTTGACCAATCTTTGGTAAGTATAAATGTTCTTGCTTTGATCTGGTGAGATTGACTAGTTTATGAATCTGAATCACTTTTCAGCTCTATGTGGATGATAAGATGTTCTCTCATTGGTTTTTTTCTTGTACCATGATTTACTTGAACTTTTAGCCATGTCATGTGGGATATCTAGCTTCTAAATGTGTATGCATCTAAGTACACATGTTTTTAAAGCATTATGAGCAAGGATTAGTACATTTTACCAGATATTTATTTATTTTTAGATGCTTATTTAGTTATCAAATTGTTGTGTTGAAGCAAGTGAATTATTTGATTATGCTTATTTCTTTTGATATTGAATTATCTCAGCTCCACTGAGCGGATATTGCTTTAACCCAAAGTCTTATTTTGTTCTTCTCTGTGCGTGTCAAGTCTGGGCGTTTCATAATGTATCATATGTTTGCTTATTGTTGGCAGATTAGTACTCTAAAAAATGATATAAGCAAGCTTTTTGACAGCATTGAGAAATATGGTATGTATATCTCTCCTCTTCCTAGATTCATTGTGTTTTTTTTTCTTTTTCTGGTTCTTGTTTTCTTCGAAATCTTTTTATTCCCTTTTACTTCCATTCACCATCTCTCAATTAAAAAATAGTGAATATTATTACTCAATTTTATATTTCTTTTTTAGTTCTTCATTTCTATTAGTTCTCTTTTTCAGATGATGGGACCCTTTACTTTGATGATAAACTTGTTGATGGTTATGAATATCAAGGTCCTTTATCAATCACCTCTTCAGTTCTTAGAGGGCTAACAGCATTTGCTGCAGTGACTACCGGAAATATCGATGTCTGTAGAGAGAACTCAATTATCATTCATTTTAGCCCACTTATCTTTTCTTCTCAGAGTGCAATCTAATACTTCTGGTTTATATCTGCAGCTTCCACGGGACAAAATACTCGGATTAGCTAAATTCTTCCTTGGTATTGGAGTTCCTGGCGATGCTAAAGATTTCTTCTACCAAATAGATGCCTTAGCTTGTTTGGAAAGCAACAGGCAAGGTTTTTCTTTAAGCATTTTTAACGTATTTCATTTATTTGATACAATTTGATGATAGATATATATTTTTTGGCTACCATTCCTGTTATTTAATTATCCAAATAGCCTTTTATTATAGTGAAATCTTAACCTTGGTTGAATTTCTGTCACCCTTGAATAATATGTTCTCTAGTAACTCTAGTTGATCCTTGAAAGAGAGCAAGAAGTTATGCGCATGCCTTTTGTGAACTTCATTTTGCATAATCTGGAATTGAGCTCAGTGTTTGTAAAATTGTTTTCATAGTTACTTTATGCCTTTCGTGACAGAGAAAAGTAGTAGTTTTGTGTGCTGCTGTCACCATTTCTCTTTGGTTTTATGTAATGAAGCTCTGGAACTTAATAGATATTAAATTTCACTTGGCATGCAGGGTTTCTATCCCATTGATCTTATCACTTTCATCAGCTGTGCTTTCATTGACCAAAAAAGACTCACTCAAGGTTTGTCCAAAGTTAAAATCCCTAACATGAACAATCGTGAGCAGCGACTTTAATTCCTCTATAGTGGCAAAAACCTACCATCCAAGGATTGATGGTATTGAGATTAGTGGCATTTCCATTTTGCTACTTAAATACATATCAGTTTTAGATCTTCATGAAGATACTTGTGTCATCTGATGGAGTGTATGCTAACTTCTTTTCTGGCCTTTTTATCAAACTGTAATCATCTTCATGTCTCATTCATCTGTGTCCAATTTATGGTGCATATTGCTGGTCAATTATTATGTAATTGAACCTGCTTTTCATTTGCCTTTTATACTTAACCCTCCTTGATTATGCCAGAATTGAAAATATCCATCTCGTTTGGGGTTTTGTTATTGATGAATTTTATTTTATTTTATTTTTGCTCATTGAATAAAACAGGTTAGAGTTACTACTGTGCTTGGTTCAAATGCACCACCTCTAACCGTGAAGCTTGTGGGTGCTTTTAGTTCTGTTTCTAAGGATGCATCTCTAGTTGAAAGCCAGGTATGTTGTTTCCTCAAGTAGTGGTCATTTTATTGGATTTACTTTCTTCTTACAAAGTCTCTTTTGCATTTTCCTTTATTTCTGTTTAATTTGATTTATTG